TCGTCGTTACCACCTCCTTTTCGAGTCTGAATTTGGGTTTCGCGCTGATTAGCAGTCTGTGGTCGAAGCTGTTGGCTGTTTCGTTGATTGGACTGGCGTCGTTGCGCCTCCTCGGCGGACGATCCCTTTTGGCCAGCTCGAAGATTCTGCTCCTGGGAGTTTTGCTGCGCCGCGGCCGTCTGGGAGGATCGTTTATCCTGTACCTGGTTCACTTGCGTCATTTCGTCCGGTCGATGAATCGTCGGGGTTGCTCGTTCTTCGCGCGGTGGTTGGTTGAGCAATATCGGCGGATGGTTGGTCGCCGTGATCGTCTTAGCCGTGGTGGTTGTCACGGTTCGTACAGACGTAGAGCTGGCCGGCGAGGACGTAGGCTGAAGGTTCCTCGGTGTTTTTTCGCCGATCAACCAGTACGTGGTCATCGTGCCTTTGCCCTGAAAAAATTGCAGAAGGAAATGGTTCCCGTCGGGTTGCCAAGTGGTCCCGTCTCCTCACCTTTAGAGTGACCTCGCCTCTGCAGACCAGCTCGAACGTGCCGAACGTGTCCAAGATTTCTTTCGTCTTCGGGCTGACGTGGATCATCAGAGCTGGAGGCGGACGAACCGAACCGTTTCCGATCGTGTATCGTAATTAGGATATTTCGCGATTGCCTTCGCTTACTACTTCTCGATCGCTTACCTTCTCCGTTGCTCTCCATCCTGGAAGCTGTGTTCACCGTGTCGCCGAACAGACAATACCTGGGCATCTTGAGGCCAACCACACCAGCCACGCAGGGTCCTGTTAAAAAGGGCGAAACGGAATATTGCGATACGCGTCTCGAGCTAATCGATCGTTACCCGAGTGCATCCCAATTCGAAGCTTGAGCTGCTCGCTCGGCCTGTGACGTATACGGAACGTCATCACGGTATCTCTCAGCGCTAAGCTCATCCTTGCAATTTCCCTCGCGTGGTTCGTCCCGTTTCTCACCGGTAATCCCGACACTACCATATAAGCGTCGCCTATCGTCTCCACCTGGGTGATGGAAAAGGAAAAATAAAACGTCTGGTCAATCGGCGAAAGGTCGTATAAAGTGAAGCCGCTCGCTCACCTTGTAAACGTCAAAGTTCTCGATGATGGAGTCGAAGCAGGTATAGAGATCGTTGAGTACGTCTACCACCTGAAGGGGCGTACTCTCGGCCGAGAGTTTGGTGAATCCTACGATATCGCTGAAGTAGATGGTGACTTGATCGTAAGTCTCGGCTATCACGCTCTGGCCGTGTATCAGCTGAGACGCTACGGATCTGAAAATTCGGTTGGACGAACGGAAGGTGGTAAAAGGTTCGCGCGAGCAACCGAACGCTTACTTACTTGGGCAACAATTGATAGAGAAGCTCCTCGCATTTGCGCTTCTCCTCGAAATAATCCGCGGTACGCTCCTCCACCAGAGTCTCCAAATTGGTAGCGTACTGTTCCATGCGAGAGAGTAAATTGTCGAGGATATTGCTGCTCTCGTAATCTCTGAAAGGAGAAGGAGCGCATGGTTTCGAATCGCGGGCAATTCACCAAAGTTCACGGGAATTCGATTCGGCGAAGGAAGAGTCTGCGCAGCGTCCTAGTATCGCGCAACAGGATGCGCGTGCCTGCCGCCGATCGATGAAACGTTCGACTCCCGAGCCGTTATCCAGAGAAGGACGTTTCAAGCTAACGATAAGTGCCACTCGATCACGCGTGGTTAACGAGATATGTAAATCTCGGGGATGAGAGAGAAAAAAATTTAGAAGGGGCGAGGACCGACTCACTTGTTAATTTTCCGTATAGTTTGCTTGAGCGCGGGAAAGTCCGGCCTGTCCGCGGCGTCTTGTGCCCAACATCGCCTCATCAAGGTTGCCACCTATTTTCGGAATCGTGTTAGTTATTGCTCGATTACTCTCGATTACTTAAGGAAAGTGTGTGTGCGCGCGCGCTTACTTCCTCCTCGACCGAGGACTCGTCGATCGCGGGCCTCAACGGCGAACCTCCGCCCCTCTTCACTCCCTCCACGATTTCTGAAACAAAGGGAAATTTGTAGAACGTGTGAGCGCGAGAAGAAAATGCAACAATCGTTGAATCCGCGCGTCTCCATGGGAAAATGATCGGGAAAATATAGCATGCAACCTACTGTGCCTGTACAGGTCCTCCAAGAAGGCGTTGCAAGATTCGCAGTTGAGGGTGCAGTGAGGCCTACGGACTTCGAGTAACGGACTGACGGCCCTTCGAGGGCTGGCCCCACCGTCGGGGCTGGCACCCGGCATCGCCGGCAACGTTAGACTACTCGTGCTCGAGCAATAGCTTCTCTCCGCCATTTCTTCTCCTTTCCCTAATCTCTATCCCGATTATGCTACGATGCTTTTCCTAACCAACTCGCCCTCACTGTGAAACGTTCGGTTTCGAGAGTGCGAAAAGTTGTCGACGGAGGAACCTTTTCATGGCTAGTACCTAGTTTTTACGCTACCGTAGAAATGAGAACGTTCGGTGGGATTCGGGTGAACGAACTGTAGCATTGCTGCCGCGACAAACGAATTCTCCGGCCGGTGGTACGAACGAACGTACCCTCGGAATGTATTAATCGGGAATCGCTGGCTCCTTCGATCGTAACTCTTTGCGCCGGAGAAGCGTTAATTCTTTACTTCGGCGTGCTTTCGTCGCTCCCTTCCGTCCCGCGCCAAGTAATCAATTAATTGCCGGATGTCGGAAACGAAATCAGGGTAATTGGCTTCGAAAAAACGACGGGACGCGATGTGGGGTGGGTAGGGAGGGAGGGAGGGGGTGGGGGGGAGAGAGAGAGAGAGCGAGGACGGGAGGGAGGAATGGGGTAGGATGGAGGTGGAAGGGTGCGAGGGTGGGGAAGGATAGAAGGAGAAAGAGGCTGAATATCGAGCAAAAAGGAAAATCGGGCCGCGTAAATGGGACGGTAGCGAGCAACTGCGATTGGTAAACACAAGCACGTACCGAGACGAAGGCAGGCATGCAAGCACGCAGCCACGCAACAGACACGTAAACACACCGAGGGACAGGCAGGTGTAGAAAAAGGGAGGCACGTTCCTCCGAGGGGTCGGCGAGAGGGCGCGAGGTTGGTTAATTAGAGGGACCGGCGAGATCTCCGGATGGCCGCACCTGCCCAACTCTGAATTCTCCGCCTCCACCTCACGATTTTTCACGTGTCGACGACAACGACGATCCGTAAGCCGCGAGAAAAAGAAAGGGCGACAGAGAGAAAGAGAGCGAGAGAACGAACGAACGAACGAACGGTGGGAAGGATGAAGAGAGAAGCGACGTGGAAGCGCGCGCGCGAAACCGTGTACGTTCCAGGACGCGTGAAAGCTTCGACTGAGCTTTCAACCCCCGTCACGAAACGCTCCTAGCCTACTTGTGGCACGTTCCATCCTTCTTTCATCGATCCTGCCGCTCGCGTCGAAAGCGAGCGGGCTTGCGAAAGCTCGTAAACTTCGTTACCGATCGACCACCTAGCATACGGACAATCGTTCGCACTGCTACCACGACGGCCGCTGCACCCTCCGCGGTCGATACGAGTTTTCTCCCTTCTCGACCAGTATCGCCAACTCCCTTACCGGTCGCTCCCACGCAGCAAACTTTCTTCCTTCCTTCGACGAACCCGAAAGTTCGCAAACGCGACTAGAAGGATAATATAGACTTACCCCTTGGGGAGAGATGACAGTCGTTGCCCAAGTGAAACGGTCCCCGGCGTACCACGATCTCGTGAACGATTATACCGAAGCTGTACACGTCGCCCTTTTGACTGCCCTCCGGCGGCCGTCTCTCCATCCGCAACAATTCCGGTGCCGTCCACAGCTGCTCTGTACAATCATATTTCGATATCAGTTATCCCCCTCTTCCCCCTCCTCATCATCTCTTTTCGTAAGTGGCGTAACGCACTTCCCCAATAGGCGTAGCTGCTCTTGTCGTTCTCCTCCTCGTCGCCGATCCCCTTCCTCAGCTCGTGCAGTCCAAAGTCGGCGATCTTAAGGACGAAGCGCGAATCGACCACGCAGTTGGACGATTTCAAGTTCCCGTGGCTCTTTAGCTCGGACGCGTGAAGGTACGCCATTCCCCGAACAATGTCGTGGATGAGGGAACCGCGAAACACACGGTCCAGCTCGATCTGATCGTTTCCCAATATATCCTGTCGCGGGGGCATCGAGCATTAAGGGAAGAATTGAATCCTCTATTCAAACTAACTCGCGCCGTCCCGACAGTAATCGGCCACGACGATAAGCCGGAAACGAAATAATCGACGAACCTGAAGAGACCCTTTGGGGCAGTACTCGGTTAGAAGACAGCAGTGCGGTGGCTCGATGCAGGCACCGTAAAATCGTACCAGATGATCGTGCTGAAGGTCCTTCATCTGTGCGAATAAAAGACGAGAAGCGTTACCGTTTGCCGAGCGAACTGCGACGAAACGGAAGCAAGGAAGCGAACGGTACCACTCACCCTCTTCAATTCGAGTAACAAAGGCCTGGAGATTTCCACTTTGTTCCTGGGTATCAGTTTTATGGCGACCTTAGAATTCTGCGACCAATCACATCCGAATAGTTATTCGCGAAAGGAAAGAGAAATTGAAAGAATAGAAAGAAAAGAAAGAAGATGTTTATGTGGATAGCGTGTGACGGATAAGGTCGAACCTTGTAAATTCCCGTTGGAACGTAGACGTTCCTGTCTACTTCGCCTGGCAGACTGACGTTTTCGTCCCAGTATACGGTCTGAAACGGAAAGAACGAGAAGCGTCGATGGAAATTGCGAAATATTCCCAAGAAGATGTAAGGTGTGTCTTCTCCGATACAAAGGAAAAATCTTATTTCCGATTTATGCTCCCGTTCTCGTCAGTTTTCTTCAATAAGGAAACGAGTAAAATCTAGTTTTCCCTCGAGCTGATCGAGGATTAATCAAGTTGAATATCTCGACGGCTTTTTATCGCGAAATAAACGTAATATTTCGTATTCACCAGTTGGCTACCCCGCGTCCTGTTCGCGATCAACGAATACATGGAGCCTCTGGTTCTCGCATTCGGTACGACGATAATCTCGTTCCAGTGCACCTTCCACGTCATGGAGGCTATTTCCGCTTCGAGCTTGAAGTGCCTGTAGGACGAAAGATGGAGGATGTGTTTCGATAGAAAGTTAATCCGTTTGTTTCGAACGGATGGCAACCGTGAAAGTTCAAGGCGTTCTGATCCGAATCGCCCCCGTGACTCTCAGATTCACGGCTTACCTGTAAATGAAGACGGAGGCAACGGCAAGAACGACGACGATCGAGCTCAGTACCATCGAGAGGATCGCGTGTCCTGGCAGAGCTGTCGTAGAAGAAGAGAATACATAATGCCGGATGGAAAGCGCGAGACGGAAAACGATGAAATTCGAAGGACTTACAATTGTCGGGACACAGGGAACCGTCAAAGCCGCAAGTGGGCGTGTCCGGTGGTGGTTCCGATCGACCACCAGACCAATGAATTCTCTTCCCGGGAATGTATTCCAACGTCTTATTGGCGCCGTAGTAATTAGCCACGATCTGTGCGATTTGGAAAGTGATAGATTGGTAACGAGAACGCGCCATTCCTTCGCAAAGTTACGTGTTTTTTACCTCGAACGTGGACGTCTCTGGATTCATATCGAGAAGAGAGTAGTCCGCTATTCGATCCCCGTTCTCGTCGATATTCACGTCACCCGTTATACCTGAAAAACGAAATTAGAAGAATCGTCTACCACGTTCCGCGACAGGGAGAACGAGGATGTTGTCTTTCTGGTCAAACCTTTGAAGCTTCTACCCCACATCCGCCTGGTAAGATTACCACCGTCCAAGTTCATGATGCCAGGATGTTCCGGTAAGCTCTCCTTAAGGGCGAGCGCGTAGAGAAGGACCGCGTCGTAAAAGGCGGTGACGAAAGTCGAGACTGAATTCTTTCCAAATGTGAAATTGTATTTGCTCTGGGCGAGAGCCTTCACTTCTCGCGAAAAGTTCAAGTACTCGAAATTGTCGGGCGTACGGGCGGTGACGGTCAATAAGGCCTGGTACGCTTTCCGCGCTTTCTCGTTTCTCTCCTCCGTGTCGGTTTCTACTCTCCACGGCTCCTTCGAGTTGTTGTCGCTGAAACAACCGATCAAGTCGCCGATATTTTCTCACGCCGTTTTCGCGGTTGCATCGCAATATCGCAGGAATCCGCGCTTCGCAACGTAGATTCCCCGGTACAAGCGTGGTTTGTGGTTTGCGGCTTCCGAAATAGACCTGGAGGATTCGTATTATCGATAGAGATTATCGACTCACCTGGACGACAACTCTATGGAGAAGAACACGTACTCTCCGGAATCGACCATTCCGAGCTCCTCGGCAGCCAGCAGGATCTCCCTGATGGTCGTCGCGTTCGCGCACATCACTACAACTGAAACGAGCAAACAGATCGAATCTTTCCCCGATTTCGGTATTCGCCGTTTCCCGATTAACCGTCGTGACGCGTCCAACAGACAGATTTGCGAAGAAGAGAAGATTTCTCGTTGAAGCTTCTATAAACCGGGGTCTGATTGAGGGCGGTGAAAACGGCGCTGAGGGTGAAATGGCACTCGGAATGTCCACGACTGCTCGCCATCGCGTGATTGTGATAGAGAAGTCCGGCGATCTTCCATCCGAATCGCTTCAAAATATGCCTGAGCGCCTCGCCTACCAACCGATGGGAGCCCATCATTCTGGTCAGCGTGGGGTAGTGTTCACCCTTGTAACGGAACGCCTCGGCCTGAGCGCCCGCTGTTAACACGGGGATACCCCAGACCCCGGCGTATCTCGCGACTGGCGCGATCACGTAATCGCACACGGGGCCCAAAAAGGCATCTGCGTGGTCACAAAACACGCGAACGTGTTCAAACATTCGTGTCTATTACCACCTTCTCCTTCTCTCTCTCTCTCTCTCTCTCTCTCTCTCTCTCTCTCTCTCTCTCTCTCTCTCTCTCGCTCTCTCTCGCCCTTCTTCATCTTTTCCTCCTCACCCCACTCTGCTTCTTTTCCACCGCTTCATACATACATATATGTATACGTGAAATCTCTCTCCCAAAGTCCAGGGAAACTGGACGGAACGATGACAAAAGTGTGCACGAGACAGGTATGTCTTCCCTGAATCAGGGAGGATTCCGGACTTATCGGGATCTATTGTCGTAACGTGGATACACACGCTATAAATCGTAGTCGCATTTTTCACGCGGTCAACGTTTCGAGCAATATAGGAGGCGACGCGACGGCGTGGCTAGGTGAGAAAGGACCGGAGGGAGATGCGATTTACGAACGTGTGTACGTAAGTGTAGGTATGAATTTAAAGAGGTCGAGCGTGTGTTTGCCGTGTAAAGGACGGTCGACGCTGATGACTCCCGCGTGTTAGACCGAGGCTGCTTTACTGCTGCATGTAGCGTAAACACAGACCAAAGCGCGATGCGATACGCAAGGTTCGATCGTGTGGATGTCACGGGAAAATATGCAGCGGGAGGAGGAGGAGGAAGGCAACGAGCCAGTGCTAGCAGAGAACTAATTAAACGGAATTGAGGAGCTATTTAACGTTCTGGACGCAAAAGTGAGGAGAAGCGGCCTTTTGGTTGAGTTCCGACGGTCTCGCAGCTGCACGTCAAGTGACGTCACTCGTGCGCAACGTTTGGTCGATTTTCATTCGGCGGCCACCGCAAACCAAAGTCTCGACAGGGAAACGTGACTCGATTAAACTACGCAAACTAATTCGTCGTTTCGCTCTCGAATCGCAAAGGAGCGCCGACGGGGAGCAGCCACCGCGCTCGATAACGCGATGTATTTACACATACATATTCGATAAAACGACCGATGACCAAGCGTACACGTAAACAATTCTAATTATAAATATCGCACGATAAGCCGAGCAAAGACCGGTACTTTTTTGGAAAGAGCCGGTATTCGTGCAAGGAGCGACGACGAGCGAGCGAGCGAGCAAACCCGGGAGGGGGGAGAGAAGGAGAGAACGAGAAACGAGGACGGACGACCTGCCGTCCGGTTGATGTAGAACTCGAACGCGGCCAAGGGGCCGTAGGTGCTCGAGCATCCCGAGTCCCGATGATCCACCGTGATGTTCCATCCTGCCAGAGATCCTCTCGTCGAGCTGACCGCTCCGACCGCGAGGAGAACGGCTGGTAGCAGCCTCGGCAGGCTCTGCTCGTGACGAGAATCGGCCGGGGCTATCACCGCCAACTTCACCTCCCTCTTCAGCGGTGGTTCCAGCGATTCGAGACACCCGCCGGCGCTAGCACTCGCGCACATCGTCGTCAGGATCAGCGTCAGCCTCATCGATGCGTCGCTTCCGCGTGATATGGACCTGCAATCTCCTCTTCGACACGTCCACGACCTTCCACATGCCGCTCGTCTTTGCATCTCGTTTCCTCTTGGATCGATCGATCGATCGATATTCCTCCTCCCTCCCATCTATTCGCCACACGCTCCCGCCTGCGTGCACCTTTTCCCGCCTTACGATAGTCGCAAACACATTTGCACCTCTATACCTCGCATTCCGTGCATTTTTCACTACCCCCGTCTCCCTCCCCCGTCCCTCCTAAAAAGGGTAGAAAAGTTATCGCGCTTAATACCGCGTGCGTGTTCTCTCCGGCAAACCAGAGGGAAACCTAGGGCTTTTCCGAAACGAGCGAAACGAGCAAGGTTGGACCGCGCGCGCGAAACTGAGCCAAGCTCGAAGCTGCTCTGAATCGCCGCCACCACCACCACCACCACCACCTCCGCCGCTGATGCCGGACGATCGTGCTCTTCCTTTTCCTGCCCTCCTTCGCCCCTCGTCCGTCGTGATCCGCGTCTAGGATAGCACGTTGCTGCGCTGATCGTCAAGGTACACGGTACATACATAGCTGTTTAGGTAGGAGGACGCATGCGTCCAAACTTTACACACCCTCTGCGTTCCATGGTTTCTTTTATCTGTCCTCTCTCTCTGTTGGACGATCCAAGATTCCGCCTTTTCTCTTTCGTTCGTCGTGACCCGCGTGAATCAGTGCCGTTCAAAGTCCGAGCGCGGAAAGGGTGAATTTGCTTATCGACGGAGGTGAGGGGGTTCGAACCGCGCGGTTCAAACGCGATCTCGAGGGAAACAGGGAGCGAAGGAGAGAGATTGAGCCTTGTAACAGTTTGAACGGGCATCGATCGCGTGCGCATTTTTTACATTCGTCTAGAAACCGTTTAAATATAGACTTTGTGACGCGTTCACCGCGTATCATACCGTAAGAGAGCAATAATAGAAACGTTCCGGCTCGATGATAACGTGTCGCGATAACGCGCAAGAAACAATCCGATAACGTCGACGTCGCCTAATTGATATGGACAATTAGATCGTCGATCGTGCGTGAATAATAGATTTATTAGGCTGGAACGGAAGCGGACAGGGTACCCCGACGATACATATTTGTACAGAACGTAGAAGCCGAATGTACCAACTTTAGCTACTCCTTTATCTTTCGTTCAATTTGTCCCCTTTTAACGCGATCGACTCGTAACACCCCCGACGTATGAGCTACGATAACGAAAAGTGTGCTCAAAGTCGAAGCGTCGAGATAAAAAGTGCGCGGCGAATTATGCTTTTATCTGGTTTACCTACCGTTTACCGTGCGTGTGCGTAGACGCGGAAACGCGATGCATCTGTTTCTTGTTCCATTTCCCCTAAAATCGACGTACCGTTTACACGGCGCGGGTGCGGGGAGTGGCGGAGGAGCTAGGTGAAAATATTTCTCGCAATGGTGTGGTTTCGCGATCGTTCGTGTAAACGCGTTCGCGTAACTTTGCTCCTCACGACGACGACGACGACGACGACGGAGTTACATTTTTCCACTTACCACCGTACCAGTTGCCCACGTGATCTCTCAGAGCCTCCGTGTAATCTTCAACGACGGTGGTCTCGACGTCGAACGTGCCGAAGGTAAAATTTGGCTGTTTCTTGATAAACTCCACCATGGACTTCATCGTCAGCTGACAAGTGTGCCTGCCGGCGACCTGACTCTGTCCGTTGGTCGCGTACACCAGATGTACCTTCCGCCACTCGTATCTACGTTATCCAGGAGGAACGATTCTATTCAAGTTGAAATTGAAAACTCTTTCGTCCTCGTTTCTCTTACCGATTCATCAGAGCGACGATAAAATTCGCCAGATCCCGAAACGCCACTTTCCCGATTCTAGTCGTCATAAAGTACTCGTCTTTGCACTCGGTCTTCTTCTCCGTGAAGTCAAAGGTGAAGCCACCGGTAGTGATCAACGGGGCACCGAAGAATTTCACCACTCTGCCAACAGCCGCTGAAACGCGAATCTTCATTCCCGAGGAAAGAAATAAAGGAGAAAACCACCTTTCCTCCCGCCGTTCCTACTTACCTACGCAGTAATCGCAAGCAGGGCCGAGGAACAGATGAACGCAATTCGAGAAGCTATCGATCGCGCCGATCTGAGCGTACATCGCGTCGCAGTGATCGTCTTGCGGAAGGAACTCTAGTTTCAGCCAATGGGGTACGAGGCCTCGCGATCTCGCCTCGTAGACGGCCAAATCTGGGAGAAAGTGGAAAAGCATGAGAACGAAGCGGGGCGAGAGGAATGGAGAACGAACGAATGCTTACCGAGAACCGGTAGAACCTTTGGCAACGCGATATCGAACCTAGGATCCGCCGGTAGGATGACAGCCACCCTTAGCTCGCAGGAGACCACGCCGTGATCATTCCTCTTGCAAAGGGCCTCGCAATCACGGGCCATTTGCACCTCGCGGCAGGTCACTTTTCCATTCACCACCGGACACGTTAGCCAGGCGATCGTGAACGCGACGATCCAATTGGTACCCATGTATAATGCCTAACCACCTTTCCCCTCTTTTCCCCTCGCACGCTTGTCAAACGAGATCGGCGTACCGCGCTTCACGCTTACACGACCACCACGCCTCTGTTTCCTCGCTACCAGGCCGAATCTCACGGCCGCAGATTCTTCCCTTGCTCGCATCCATCCTCTTCCTCTTCCTCTTCCTCTTCCCCTTATCGATCCTCCTCTCGATGAAAATCTTCCGTATGAACACGAACCCGGTGCCCGCGAGTGTAACGCCGATTCCTGCACGCTTACCTCATCTCGTTTCTTCTATTCTTGGACGCGAACTGCTGAAAATTTTCGTTCCTCCTTCCCACGAAGATACCCACCGAGAAACTTTCCCCTCTACGTATGTCGCAAAACTGACTTTTGTCGGTTTCCAGCCCCCGTGTCGTCCAACCAGCCCGAGAACGTCCCGAGAACGTCACGAGATCGAAAAGAGTACCACTGACACTTAGGTCCGACGATCTTCACCTGGATTAGCCAGTCGCAAACATCCAAGTACACCTCTCGTTCGCTCGTTCGCTCGTGTCGCGTTATCGCTGATTTTCTATCGCGTCGATTGATAATAGCTATCGAAAGCTTCGACGACGAACCTACGCTCGCCTCCTACCGCTTCTTCTTCTACGGCTTCGGTATCATAATCTAACGTCATTCGTTTCTCGCCCTCTTAAGTAGCTACATCTCTCTTCCTTTCCTCCACCATGTCCTTACAACGATCGCTATTCAAAATCGAAACAGTTTGCCTTTACGAAAATTTTTCATCCGCAGAAAACATTCCAATCTCCTATCTTTGTTACAGTTGGAATCCCCGTACAACCATCTTCCACCGAACCGAAAAATATCACTTACCTTTTCATTTCGCTCATTTTCCTCGATATTTCCATCGATATTACCACCGATATGTCAATTTATTATATTACCTGCTATGTACATTCTCGGTTCACATGCACCGCCATTGTTATACCTCGTTCAAGTATTTGCCGCCCATCTATTCCAAATCTATACTTCTCTTCGAAATGCATACCTCGATAGCTCGGTTTCCACCAGAGTAGTTTACATTGCAGCTTTTTAATTAGAATGGCGCCAACTTTATTTATGTGAAAACAGCTATCTATCGCAGATTATCCTATATTTGTTTGTTCGTTTTTCCGAGAACGAAGGATAAGGTGCGTCGTTCCAGAAACGTACGTGCAGTTGTACGTCTCATCGTAGTCGTTTAGTTCGTGCGTATAATTTGGCGGGAAACTGCGCATCGGTCGCGTCAACGTCCCTACATTTTTCTCCTATCTATGTACATACGAACGATTTCAAACATGAATTCTCTCGATGCGGAGAAATTTTACGGTAAAACCACACTCGCGAAACTAGAAATCGTTGAAAAGAAGGTGAATAGTAAGCAGCAATGGGTGAAAGTATCCCGGAGGATGCCATCGTGCATTATGGGGCCACCAGAGTTTTGGATGGAATTTTGCAAACAGGCGGAAGCGCTTCGCATGGCTGGTGAGAAAAGCACCGACTTCCAAATGCTTTCTACGTTCGTTTACCAAAGAGACAACGGTTATCGTAAATTTGTGGTAGCTCATCCTGAAAGATATTGGTGGCATTACGAGCATCGACCAGCAGAGGAGAGATGCTCCTACGAGGTATGCTCTCACGATAACGCTTCCTTTCCTTTATTTTAAACGCATCTAGACACGGTATACGCTTAGGTGTTAACGTCGAACCAATTTCAATTTGTCAGATTATTCCGGAATGTCATCCTTGTCGATTGTACTTGGATTTGGAGTATTCGATTGAACTAAATTCAAAAAGTGACGGACCGTCCATGACCGATACGATAATCAACGTATTCTCTTCTTATTTGCTCGCATATTGGCACATACCGTGCAATAAATACAACGTGGTCAACTTGGATTCGAGTACCGATGAGAAATTTAGTAGACACCTTATATTCAACGTTAAAAATGTAGCCTTTAAAGATAATTATCACGTTGGTAGATTAGTAAAGTCTGTATGCCAGGATATCTTAGATTACGTTTCGCTCGATGTTAAATCACACGATATTTTGTGCAACTTCGAGAAGGCGAAACTCGAACGATTGATCGTTGAAACTAAGAAAGGTAAAGGATTGTTCGTTGACACCGCTGTTTATACGAAAAACAGACACTTTAGAATATATAAATCCACGAAATGGGGGAAGAAGTCGAATTTGATTATTTCCGATGATTCGAAATATATACCGACTATACTGTCAAAGGACAAGGAACTGAATATATTTCTCGATTCTTTGATAACGTATTTTTTTGCAAAAAAGGATTTAATGTTGTTGGAGTGTGCTGAAAATGGTGCACTGGTCACGAAACCTTTCAAACGGGAAATAGAAAGGAATCGTTGCTTTCAACATGATTATTCTTATTCGTCGCATTCGATATTGGATAAATATATTTCGAATTTAATATATCCTGGAAAAGTAAGAGCATGTAAATATCGTCGGTCTTCCAATTTATCGGTATACCAAACTTCGGGATATAGGTATTTACAATTAGCTTTGATGACTTTTAAACGATCGAAATATGGAAATAAAGATAATTAACGTTTCTCTCGTTTTTCGTAGATACTGCGAAAATATAGGCAGGTGCCATAAAAGTAACAATGTTTTCTGGGTCGTCGATTTGAAAAACAAAACCATGTATCAAAAATGTCAGGACCAAGATTGTTTTGGTTTCAAGCCGAAACGGAGACGATTACCAGAGGAAATATGTTTTCAAATCGACGAAGACGACGATATACTGTTGCGTTGTGCTCTCGTAACGGAAGATATAGCGCAAAAGGCTGGATCCTTTTGATATCAAAACTTTTTATTGAGGTAGAAATATCTGCGAAACAATGTTCTTTTGTTAGATGAAGACAACACACAGATGGGAACAAAGTTTCGAAAGAAATGCGCGCAATTTCAGGTACACGATACGTAGTTTCGTTTCCACGGTATCTTCTCCTGAAATCAATATAGAATGTGTTATGTTGCACTAAAATATAAAACATCTACATGCTTTTAGCGTGTTTTTACAAATACCAAAGTAAACGTGCAATATCACGTTTGGTACAGCAGACGTTTTACAACGTGTATCGATTAAAATGTTCACTATGTGTACGTTACACGGATTATTTACAATTTATAAAAATAATCATAGTTTCATGGATGGTTCCATGTATTACTTCAAACATATATGTACGTATTATGTTATGCGCAAGTCTACAGACAAGATTCGAGTATACACAATTAAAATATGCCTGTATAGAAAATCAATTTCTCAGATTTTATGCATCTACTTATATTTATACTATCCTGAGAATGTGTACATCGATACAACGTAGCATTTTGATCGCTATGTAACGGTTGGTTCACGTAGAAAATCATCTTGTAGAAATTCAATTTTACCTTACAATTTTCCCAAACTTGCAACATCTTTTTTTTTTCTTTTTTCTATCGTACAGTGAAAATAGTTTGTAGGTGAAATCAATTATGGACATGATCAGTCTCGTGTTTCTTGTACCATACGCAATACCATAGTTAACAACAAAATACTAACTAATATTTGAGAAAATTCATCGTTCAGACTTGATCGATAATCTGTGCATCTTTCATGCATAATATCATTAACGCAATGCGACTATCCAATGTATCCATTTCGTTAGTATCGCGATTGCGACTGTTGTTACGTTACTACCATTCTGCCCGCACAACGTCACGTTAAAGTATTTCTATTGGCCAAAACCAATTTCATTATATCAAACATATTGTAATTATTGGTCAGACAAATAATTTTGTAAGGAAGATATAACGTAATAACCCCCTGCCTTCGTCGGTTGAGTCTGTTGTTGTACCATTCGTGTCATCGTCATCTTCTTCACTCTCGTCGCTATCTTCTTGTGTTTCCATAAACCCAAACATTTCACTTTCTTCAACGAGATCGTCACGTTCCTTCGCGTTTCTTTCATTCACCGTTTCATTTTCTTTCCCTCTTTCCGTCTTATCCTTTTCGATATTACGCTGGGAAATGTCCTCGTCCCTCGTAGAAATGTTGCGTTTCGTATTAGACACATTTTCACTTTCTCTCATAAGTTTGTAATTTTTGTAATTTTTCGACGCTTGCCTCATACGAATAAGAAAGTCTGGTAATCCTGGAATTTGTAAATAGATGGTTGACATTTTCAAAACTCGTTCACCAAGCTGTTCTTTAATTAGAACTGAACAGGAAAAAACGCGTACCTGCCATCGCAACCCACGCTGTAACCGCAGATGGAATATTTACGCCAGGATCGTCGAAATAGGTCAACCCAAATTCAATGCCTGGCTGATGGAATTCAGTGTAAGGCCTTATCACCATGTACGACCAGTACGTATTGACTCTGTTACATACACATACACACATACACACACAACAGCCACACGTAATTCAGATTATTTATTAGGAAATTATCTGCTTTTTATAGATACTTTTTTATGTTTTTCATTTCGCCGCTACAAATATTCTTATCGAGCTAAATGAATGATGCGGTAATAAAATTTAAATGAGATCCAACTTAACGATAATAATCGTATTGATACATATATATATACATATACATATATGTGTGTGTATATATGTATATATATATATATTTACATATGCAGTACCTACGTATATCAAGTTCAGAATGGTAAGGAATGAATGGTAAAAAATCACCTGTATATCCCGGGTTTAGTAGGTGCACCAGGATGTTCCGTTACTCTGTTTATAATTATAATTAACCGTTTCTCTTTATCCACGACCCATCGTCGCTGGTACACGTAGTCTCTGTTTGCGAACAATCTCTAAAATATAACGACAGTAAGATGTATCAGAAGTTAAGAAATGAAATTACAGGATCGACGTTACGAGATTACGTGGTATTATCGCGTACCGGCCATATCGTTTCCCAATATATTATATCGGTACTATCGTCCACGGACTTTTGCGATTTAGGATCGGTATCTATAATCTGTAATTCTCGAGCTGTTGGGTCCCACTTTTTTCTATAGTCGACGTCTATTTGTGTTTGTAAAAAGTCTTCCGCGGTTACGTCCGAAAACGTACCGTATACTTTATACGCGAATAATCCTCCAGAATTTGGTTCTTCCTTTCTCCAAATGAGCATGTCTTGCCGTTCTATGTACGGTCTCCATCCGTCCGCTAAAACAACATGTACGTATAGATGCGACGTAATTAGGTTGGTCGGTAGGAAATGTGGTGTTGTTAAAGGTGTTAAAAACAGGAGATTATTACGTACGATCTTCATTCGAAGTGGCGTTAAATTTATCACCGTAGCACGTGCAATATTTAACACCTGGTTGTTGAGCATCTATAACAATTCTTAGATGGCATTTTGCACAAATCACCGTAGAATCTTTCAGCTTGTGAATCCCTTCGATTTCCTGCTTACAACTGTTACATGAAAGCAAATAAAACGATCAACAGCGATGAAATATTTCGTTAGGTTGAGAGAATTTGGAAAAATACATACTCGTGTTGAGACTAAAGGAGGGAAATTAGCAAAGAAGAATTGGTCTTTTTTACCTATTTAATTCATCTTCGCTTATTCTCTCACGATCCCAGTTATACATTGTTACCCCAATGCTGCTCATTAGAAAATGCTTGCTATTCTTTAAAGCGCGATTCCTCCAAGTTTTCATAAACTCCTTAAGCGCTATATCATCCCATATTCGTGTGTACAAGTGAAATATTTGCAAGCTTCTCCTGACACGTTGTGCAGCGATAAATTCAAATTGTCTGGCACAAGCTTCGACTATTTGTCCACCTTGTTCTTTCAACCAAAGGGCTACTCTTTTGCGATATTCGCAAAATCTTCCATAGTTTTCGTATTGTCGAAAAGAAGAAGCTAACCTATTTCCGTTTCGAGCATAAGTCGTACTGAACTGTTTCGATAATAAGCCAGAAAATTGTACCACGTACATCGTTAATCTTTCACCTGATTATCGCCTTGCGAAGAAGTTGTTTAAAACGACAATGTACGTTTTAAACGAGGAGAGGAACAATTTTAAACCTATCGTAGTTTCTCCTAAAAACTTGAATTATCTTGGGAAACGAAATTATCATAGGTTATCTTCTACTCTTTAAAATGATAAATTACTCAAAAAGTATCACTCTTTGCATTCATCTCTTTAATTATCTCGATAGAGTTTTCATCGCGTTTCTATATCAGATATTACAAATTACTTTACGGTATTATTACATCGCAACGTTGGCGAGAATGTGCGTTGACTATGATAAATAGTTCAGAGTGCAGCCGTGATCCGGATTCACAAACGTATCGATACTCGGTAGTCGATCGTTTATCTCGATGTACGCGTATATTTTTATACGTATACACGTAAACAAGTTTACGCGTACACAATTACGAGAGATTTCAACGATACACCCCCCGTTTGTTTTGATCGAGAAAATTTATACATGCACCGCAATTTTCCCAAAAAATGTTTCTTTAGTGGTTCCTATCGATCTCTTTGGAAATCGTCGATATATCGAGTAATCTCGATTATCTCGTTGGCTAGACATTTCGAGATATATCGAATCTCGTTGAACGCGCAACAGTACATACTCTTACGTACTAGATTTCAAGCGGCCATTTTAAACGCTTCTCTATTCGATAAAAATAAGCGTCCGCGAGGAAAAATGTAAACGTTCTCGTACGTTATTAATAGCACACTCGTATCAACGAGTAGCGTAGGTAGAGACGTGATTGTAAAATGGCGGTAGTGATGGCGGTTAAAAATGACGAAGCATGCAAAACGGAAATAAGAATAAAGGAACGCATCTGTTCCTAGCAGGTGAATACAGATGCCCCAATGGACAATCCAACAAGAATCCCTTGAGATCTCCCTCGTTGTCACGTATGCATCTAAAGTATTTGCTCGAACAAGTTTTCCCGTCTGGAAATTGACCCTGGTTCCGACAGAATTTCCCCTCTGGAACGTTAAGCTGCGACACACGGAACGGAGGAGAACGAGTAAGTAATTTGAAATAATAAGAAAGGTTATAGAGAAAAAACGACAGCCCTTACGATTTGAACCGAATCTGGTATCTCTTCGAGTTGAAAGTTGGTGCAACCTTCTCGATCGTTCGCCGCTGTCTCGTTTCTCGAGCACTCTCCCTCTTTCTCGTGGAAGATCGCGCCTTCTGGACACGCGAATATCGCGAAATTCACTTTGAAACGTTTGTCCACGGTACATTGATAAAACATATTGCAATACTTTGGATGTGCACGAAAACCAGTTGGACAAACGATAGTTAATCGTGCAACGTTTAAATCGACGACAGAGTCGTCACGTTCGTTTTGCGTGAACGGAAGGTGAGTAGTGGTAGTCGGTTCAAAGTACACGCACGTGTTTCTACGTTTCACTTGGCTCGGAAAATTGCAAGTTTTCAGATAATCGTCCCAAATAGTTCCATTGGGACAGGAAAACTGATACTTGACGTACTCGACGCCAAAATTCACGCATCTGTAAAATTTCGAACAATTATAGGGATCGGGAAAGAAACCGTTTTCCACGCAGCCACCAACCACCCCGTTACTTTTATTCGATTTTCTATTTTCGTTTTCTCGAACGATCCCGTTGGTAACGTTATCCGTGGTATTTTCTTGGAAAGATTCCTCTGTCGAAGGGTATCTCATCGCGTTTTCTTCGAATAATTTCTCTGTCGAGGGTGGTCCGAACGTGTTCGTGGCGCTAACTTCCGTATTTTGTTCGAACGGTCTCACCGTCGAAGGATATGTCAGAGCAGTGGTAGGAGTATAGATATCCTCCGAGTTTTGTTCGAATAGTTTCTCTGTCGAGGGAGGGCTGAAGGTGTTAGTGGCGCTAACTTCTGTACCTTGTTCGAATGGTTTCTCCGTCGAAGGATATCTCGGAATAGCAGCAGTAGTACCGGTATAGATATCTTCTTCGAATAATATTTCTGCGGTGGGTGGTGTTAAAGTAGTAGGATAAATATCCTTGGCGTGTTGTTCGAACGGTTTCTCGGTGAAGGGGTATCTGAGAGTAGCGGTGGTAGTAGTATAGATATCCTTCGTATTTTGTTCGAATAGTTTCTCTGCGGTGGCGGTGGCGGTGGCGGTGGTGGGTCTCAGAGTCGTTGGATAAATATCAATCGTGTTTCGTTCAAGTAGTTTCTCCGTCGAAGGAGACTCTAGCGCGTTAACATGGGTAACCTTCGTATCCAGTTCGAAGAATTTTTCCGTGGTGGATGACTCCAGAGTGATGTTCTCTGTATTTTGTTCGAACAGATGCTTCGTTGACTGGGCTCTTAAAGTTGTGCCAACTAACGTAGGTTCCTTTTCTCGAACGGAATGGCTATTTTCCGAATGTAAATGAACGCGTCCGCCAGTTTCGTTTACCTTTTTATAGAGAAGCGGTAAGTCCGTTTTAATTTCTGGTACGATCTTTCTACTATTTTCTCGAGGCATCGAATCGAACTCGTCGCTATCGGCGTAAAAGTGTTGCCGATGATCGAGCAGTGTGTAATTGACGATTTTCTTCTGGCATTCGATTCTATTTGCATGTTCGGAAAGGACGCACGCCTCTCTCTCGATCGAATAGAGGTAAGATTTGTCGCACTTGTAAATGTATCGAACGAAATGGTCGAATAGCAAGTTGACGCATTTGTAAAATATCCTGCAATTATGCGTGTCCGCGAAGAATCCCGGGTGACGACAGGTGAACTTGGCCTGTTTATGGAGCCAAAATGGAACCTGCGAAGCGTGCGGCGGTGCGGGGTGAATAGGCTTGAAAACTGTAAGACAGAAAAGAACGTTTGGCTGAGGAGAAATTTTCCACGCGATCGATCGAATCGGTTCTTACCTGTCCCTATGGATCTGGATGGTCGTGCAGGTATAATACCAGTCGGTAGAGCGAGAAGGCAAAGAGCGTAGAGGACGGGCGACATTTTCGGAAACAACAAATCACCCCCTAACGCGAACAAGTTCTAGAGATAAGTAAGAGGAGAAGAGAATCGAGACGGCAGAGAGTGGAATGGTGGATGCGTGCAAACGAGCAGATATATATAAGTTGGCGGATGATCGTTAAACGAACGGCGCGAGATCGAGAGGATTGGTCGAGCGAACATACCAGTTAAGAGAACAAAGGAAGGACAACGTGGACGAGGAAGAAAATTGTATTTTTCCTTTTACTACGCATTGTCTGTATTATCGTTCGTATCGGTAATTGTACAAGGCAGGTTCAAGCGGGGTGGCAGCCTTTGCTTCGAAACGATCGATCTCGAACTAGGAAGTATCTATCTCTACGATGCTTCCGCTAAAGCCGCTAGATCCACTCTCCGGTTCACTCGTTCACTCTTCGACAGTCCAACATTTTCCGCGCTTCTGCCTGCAAATCACCACGCCGTCAATCTTACTCTTTAGGCGCGTTCCTCGAGGCGAGAGAAGCACCCCTATCCCCGTACCTGGATGAAATTGTAGACGGTCAGCAGCTGTTCCAACGAAGGTTTTCCCTGGGAATCGCAGTCGGTTCTAGTAGCCCATTCGAGAGCGCCTACCCTCTGGCTCCTTTTTCCCCAACCGGTTGAAAAATTTAGCTGGGCCACCGCGTCCAGGCTCAAGCATAGCAGCAATATTATCGCGAGGAAACCGAGTCGAATTTTACGATACCTGCGGAACAAAACGTCGTTAGCGAACGTTATCGCGTACGCGGCAAAATTGCACTTACATGTCGTCAGCTGGAATCGCGATTCGATAAGATGGAACACTTGTTTCTCAGAGATGGTACGTCCGCGCCAGATGAACGCGTTTGTCCGAGGATAGCGAGGCCGAGGACTTTTTTATATGTTCACCCCGTGACCGGAATCGGATGTGTCACAATCGTACAATCGATTGAAAGGTTTCTTTCTCGTTCGGTAGACGTGGAACGACGAAGCCTGCCTAGAATTCGATTAATTAAAAGCTTCGATTCGTCCCTCGTCCTCTCCAGGACGACGATAGGTGGAAATTGGAATGGGGAAATTTCCGGCGAAACGTGGGAATCACGATGCTGTTTCGATGTCTTCTTCTATTTTTTATTATTGCTACAAAAACGAAAGAAAAAGAAGAACAGGAAGTGACACGTATCGGCGACGACAATACGGATGGATCGCGCGGGTAAAAAAGAAAGGTGTGCCATGATACGCGTGTATGCCTTGCGATCGACTATCACATGTTGAATAGGCCACGAACAGTTCTGGTCTCGCGTACCCTGGATTAGGTATACATACATATGTGTAATGTACAAGAAGCCTGTGTATAATACCTCTGCCTAAAGTTTCTCCGACCAACATCTCTATTTTCGAACGCGGTTCATACGCGCGCTCGCTCGCTCGCGGCTTGGAAGCATCTCTCTCTCTCTCGTCTTTCTGGTACATAGTAGATAAGGGCAGTGTTCGAGTTAAGTAGTGAATCGCGAACGAATCCGTCCGGAGTCGCTGCGCGATCTTTCATTTTCGATCGCGTTGCTCGCCGACGAACACGTTCTTTGTACTGCGGCCGCGGCCCAGTGTACCGTTAAAAACGACGCGTCACGAGTGATACGTAATGTTTATTGTTATTATTATTATCATCATCATCATCATCATCATCATTATCAATATTATCATTATCGTTATCTCGACAATGATGCTCGATGTTCTCTGCTTGGCAATCGTACACGCGGTTGCTCTGATAGGTTTGTGGTCGTTGTTCGACGGCAAACGTCCCCCTATTAACATGAACATTCGTTCCTGAATAAACAATACGCACGATTCATCCATTCTCTACGCATCCTTTGAGATCACACGTGCTTTCGCCGAAGCTGCACTCTTTTTTCTTTACCGTATATAAATTACACGCTAGCTGTTTCTGGGGGCGCATCGAGACCGATCTGGCTCACCTCCGAGACGCGTATCATCATCATCATCATCATCATCATCATCATCATCATCATCATCATCATCATCATCATCATCATCATCATCATCATCATCATCATCATCATCTTCATCATCATCATCATCATCATCATCATCATCATCATCATCTTCACAATCATCAACATTATTATCATTATATCATACATATACATAACGTGTCGTTGATTTATCGTACAAAAAGCTTACAAATTATTATCACATATATGCGTGTACGTACGCGCGCGAACGCCTCCATAGGTACACGGATATACATACATATATATTTATCTATATATATATACATACACACAGACACACAATACAGCCACACGCGCGAGCAACAAGCACACGCAGGCAGACCCACGTATAGAGATATGGGCGCGTGCCTTCGACGAATGCTGGCGCCATCGGCGGAGAAGAGATGAGAAGACGAGGGATTGTTATTGCTCACTTCCCGTGGGTCGTCGCCTCGAAATCGTTTGCCGCCGACAAAGTAACGACCTACGATTAACGTCGGACGCACGATATGACACCCGGACCTTTTCTCGTCGATCAACACCCGCTTCTATTCCAAATGCGTACGTATCGCGTCTTCGGACATAGGCAGGCACACAGGCACGCGCGCACGGCATATATTCGGTATTTAGGTTTACGTCTATATTTATACGTGTATTCGTCGTTAATGGAAAGTTTCGTACACCCCGCCCGTCTAGACGGCTCGTTTCTCATTGTCAGTCGTATTCACGCATACCCGATTACTAAAAAATACTCTATAAGTTAAATATAGCGAAGCGGTATCGCTTTTTCGCTGCCTTTGTTCCACTTTCGTCCATTCGTTTCTTCCTTACATTCTGCACACACTCGCCCACCTATACATACACGTATATTCATTGCCTCCTAGCGGGTGTAGGCCGTAAAAAAAATAGATCCAGACCTCGTAAGTCGAACGATTGGCAAAAATTACGAACAGTACTGTTTCTTCGTACTTTGTGAAAACTGCGAAGGGGAGGTGTGGCGTTTCGTTCGTTAATGGAATGGAATGCACGCACGGAATAACGGTTACGATGAACGCGTCGTTATATTAGGCAGCCGAGTAACAATTCCGCGATAGTTTCGACCAATTTCCTCTTTCCCCTCTCTCCCCTCTCCCCGTCAAAGGAAGCAAGGAAACGCACGATAGCTGATCGATCGATCGTTCTCCTTTTCTTCTAAACAGATATAAAAATTCTATCGCTCGTTACTACTCGTCGTCGTCGTCGTCGTCGTCGTCGTCGTCGTCGTCGTCTTAGTCTCTCGTACGATCGTAAAGAGCAGTCTTCTCGATTAAAAAAGAGAAAGCATGAAAAAAGGGGAAATGAAA